CAGCCGAGGGCTCCTTTTCCTGAATCGCAATTGGTGAACGACAACAAAGGCTTAGCAACTGGCTCCTGGTGACCCGCAGGGCGCCTGGTAACTGGGGCCCCGGCCAGCATGGAGAAAGGAGATGGGCTGTCCCTTTAAGGGATGGCCGCAGAGTCGTGAAAGTGGAGGGGGTTGGGGGGGAGGGCGGGGAGGAAGGTCTAGGGGTGGACCTAAGGGGAGGAGGAGGAGGAAGGCGAGCTGCTGAAAGGAGGTGGTGAAGGAGGAGCCCGAGCAGCTGCTGCCAACCCGCAGGCACCCGAGTCCTGCCCGCTGCCGCAGGAGTAGCCAGCCAGGCACGATCGGGCCAGACGTCTCCTCCTCCATGATCACTTTGGGAGCCGGGGGAAGACTTTGCCCGGCTGTACGAGCGGGTCTGCATTTCCCAGGCGCAGCAGCGGCGGAGCAGCAGCGGCGGACTCGGGCTCCGAGCGCCCACAACCCGGGGCGTGTGCGCCCCGCGCGGAGCGGGCTCGGGCTCCCCGCGGAATGTTCCCGGGGCGCCCGGCGCGCTGAGCCCCCCAGCCGCCTCTGCCTTGGGCGCCTGCACCCTTTCTCCCGCCAGCTCAGCTTTTGGGACTGATAGCACCCCAGCTCGCTCCTAGGCGGTGGGGAAGCCCCCGGGGGGTGGGTGGGTGACCTCAGCTGGCCACAACCCAGCCCTCCCCCCGTGCATATCTCGCTTAAGATGGCAGCGGAGTCAGGGGAACTAATCGGGGCTTGTGAGTTCATGAAAGGTGAGGAGCACCCGCCCTGCATCCTCCAACCCCCCCTCGCTCTAAACTCTTCACTTCTCAATCCTGTGTCCTAACCGCTGCCCCTCTCTTCTCCTGAGGTCCCCAGGTGTCCTGCAGCCGCTTCTCGCTCTCTCCCCTTTACTCACTCTCTACTCTTCTCCCCGAGGACCCCCTGCTTCCGGCTTCTCTCCTGCGTCCCTGTTCCCTCTGCAGCTTGCTCGGACGGCGGCCTCCCCGCCTGGTTGTGGGACAGCGCTGACTTCTGCCTAGATTCCTGCTAGCAGCAGATCTTTGGGATCCTACTTCGGGTTTTCTTTGGTCTCCTATACCCCACTTCCCAGCTTTTGGACAGTGCCGCCACACCCCCCAGTTTCTATTTTCTTCTTGAACTACATCGGAGAGAGGCAGGGCTCTCTTCCCCTTCTGCAGTGGCTGAGATCTGGAGATTCTGAAACTAAACTTGCATCTCCAGTTTGGAGGCACCTTCAGCTCCTCCTAGCCACACCAACTTGCTATGGCAGAAATGTGGGCACCCCTCCTGCCCCCTGCGCTATCCTTCCTGTCCTTCCATGTGGTTTTCTTGTGGCCTCTTCAACTGTTGTGCTCTTGGGTTTCTTGTCTTTCTGAGTGAGCTTCATTCCACGTGTTGTTGGGGGGGAGGTGTTCTTTAAATTTGAGTAGTGGTTATTCTTTTGATCCTTCATGTAATGTTACTCCTCGGTGTTAACCCCCTCCCCAACTCCCAGTTTACCTACTTCTCATATATTTTTTTCCTGTCTTTTAAACTTGTCTTTCAGATCGGTTATATTTTGCTACTTTGAGGAATAGACCAAAAAGCACAGTAAATACCCACTATTTCTCCATCGATGAGGAGCTGGTCTATGAAAAGTAAGTTTTTGGTTGTTTTGTTTTGGTTTTAATTGTCCGTTTAGCTTGTTGGCTCTTCGATGAGGAAACACCATGCAGCTTTATGACAGTTTTTGTCACTTCCTTTTAGTGCTGCAAGTAGCATTACCCATTTCCCCTGCCCCCTCAGACTTAGATGCTTGCTTAGAGAGAACTACAGGGGAAGTTAACATAGCTGTCAATATCTCAGCCAGTCCTTTCAGTGTTCTGTCTACATTAGTCCTTCCTGCTAGCACAACATACAGTGAACTGTCCACTGATAACACTTTACAGTGAGACCCACACTGTCATGCCAGACTCTGTAATTGGCTTTGAATCAGTGGCCAAATATTTATGGAGCACCCACAAGGTGGAGGACCATGTATTACAGGTGCTTAAGTTTTACAGTTCACAAGGCTTCTGTTGTAACTCAGGATGTTTTTGTTTGTGCAGTTTGTTTTTGGAAAGTGGGACATTAATTGCAGGAAACTGTACCCAAGTCATATCTATGATTTAGATTTTGCTTGTGTGACAAAGTAATGGCTTGCTTTATTTGGAAGCCCCAAGCTTTATGGTATTGTTATGTTTGCCTTTACGAAAGCTGCTTAAGAGCGCTGGTTTACTTTCTTTTTTCCCCTCATTCTTCTGTGGTGTTTGAGACTGTAGGAGCAAAGAACTGTTTTCTATGAAAGACTGTTGATCTACAGAAAAAAGATCTGTAATACTTTAAGCATAATAAAGAAGGAAAGATAAATAAGTCTCCAGTTAAAGCAACAGAGAAGAGCAAAAAAGGGCTGATGTCTTTTTATTTATAGGGTTGTTTTAGATGAGTCTAATATATTTCACTACAGTTTGTCTGTCAGTGTGCTGTACTGTGGTGACTTGAGTGTTGTTGCGATGTCCAAAGCTGTGCTACTGGTATCTCAGATATCAACAGGGTCACCCACGGATAAGTTTTGGTGGAGCGTTCAGACTAAGAAAGGTTGGGAAGAAGAATTTGGTAATCTACTTCTAAAAAAAAATTGCCCAGTGAAAACCTTGTGAATACCATGTGAATACTGATATAGTGTACCTTAGGTTAGAAGGCACTCAAAATTTGATTGTCTTCTCAAAGAGTCTGCTTCTTCCCCAGAGGCAGCTTAGTGACATGATAGAATAAAAACTTTCCTATTTATTTTTTGCTGGTGTGACATGATTCAAAATTAGAAAAAAAAATAACTATAAGCAGCTGATAATAATAATAATATTGAATGTGTGTACAGTATGACTCAAAGAATATTAATGTTTTCAGAAGTAAATTGGAACCCTGGAAGATTGGTATAGTATACATTTATTTGTGAAAAGAAATTGGATTGGCCATTTTGAATCAGACAATCGTATTTTCATCTCTGTTGGAATGACAAATTCAAGAGGAAGGGTGTCACATTCACCATCAAAAAGAATGTTTCAAGAGTATCCTGAAATACAGTCCTGTCAGTGATAGAATAATACCGGTGTGTCCACAAGGAAGACAGATTAAAATGACTATTAGCCAAATTTATATATTCACTACTAATACCAAAAAGAAGAAATTAAGATATTTACCAACTTGGGCAGTACAAAAATCGATCAGGCATTCAGTGTTCTAGAACAAAATGAATGATAGCATTAACACGAAGACAAGAAGAGGGAAAGAGGCAAGGTTAAAAAAAGACTCATTGATAATTATAATATGGAAGTTGGAAATGAAGGATGGAGGTGATTGCAAGATAAAATTTTGAAGATCAATAACTTAATCATTGGAAATAACTTTTCCCAATGGCAGAAATAGTAACTATACATGTGGACCACTTCTCTAATGGAAGATGGAGGAATCAGATTGACTATGTAGATCTGTAGAAAGAATGGATAAAGAAGGTTGATATCAAGGTTGACTATGGAACAAACCATCAATTACTTATATGCAAGTTCAAGCTGAAGCTGAAAAAAAAATGGAAACAGGTCCACTGTCACCAAAGTATCCCACTTGAATTTAGAGATCATTTCAAGAATAGATTTGATACTGACAATGACCAGACAAGTTGTATGATGACATGAAGGACATGAAAACCAAATAACAACCAATAAATCTCATTGTCATGGATTACATTTCAACTCATGGCAACCCTTCATCAGTTTTCCAAGAACACCAAGACTTAACAGGAATAGACTTCCTTATCTTTCTTCTACCAAGTGGCTGGTGCTTTCAGATTGCCAACCTTTTAATTGTTAAACACTTAACCTACTGACTACACTCCTGAAATTCTTTGAATAAAGGAAAAACACAGAAACAAAAGCAAACAAATAAAAACCCAACAATAGTGATAGATGTCAAAGGAGATTCTGAAACCTCTTCTTAAATGTAGAGTAGCTATAACTAACAGAAGAAATGATGCAGTGAAAAAGCTGAGCATAAGATTCCAAAGGGAAACTTGAGAAGAGAGTGTTTTATAATGAAATGAGCAAAGATCAAAAAGTAGAAAATCGTAAGACAGATGAGCTTGATATTCATTTCTTGAGCAGAAAAAATGGAAGAAAATTCAAGTCTTAAGTTAAAATATTAAAGAACTCTACTGGCCAAATAGTGAATGAAACTAGAAGCATTAAAAAAAAGATGGATATTGTCACGACAGGAGTCCAGAACGAAGGCTGCATAGTGGAGTGGACTTGGGGGAAGGGATTGTGTAACAATGAAAGAATTTTACTTTTCAAAGAGAAGAGTGAACTGGGGGAGGAGGTTGGGCAGGGAGAAAAGTACAGCAATGAATGAATGGAAATCCAAAGTTTTTGTAAACTTTCATGAATAAAATATATGTATATATATATCTATCTAAAAGATGGAAAGGATATGCAGAGTTACTCTTACAAAAAAATATCAGCTGATCTTTAGCCACTTCACAGCCAATGGCATTAAGGAAAGAAATCTAAGAAGGCATTGATGAAAAAACATGGCTCCGGGAATTGACATACTACTAACCAAGATGTTTCTACAAGTGGAGGCCAGCTGGAAGTGCTCATTTCAACCAAGAAGTTTGGAAGACAGTTACCTGGTTACCTGACTAGAAGAGAGCCATATCTGTACTCATTTAAAATAAAGGTAACCCAACAGAAATTACCAAATAATATAATTATCATCACATGAAAATAAAATTATGCTAGAGATAATGAAAAAAAAAAAAGTTTGCAGCAGTACATCAACGGAGAAGGGCCAGAAATCCCACCTGGACTTATAAGAGGATATGAAACTAGAGATATTGCTGATGTTAGGTAGATACTGGAAAGAAGTAGAAAAGTACCAGAAAGATGATTACCTATGCAAGGGCTTTCGACCATATGGATCATGACAAATTGTTGAGTAACGTTGCAAAAATGGGAATTGTAGGATGGTTAATTGTGTTCAGGTTGGAATCTGTACGTAGGCGAGGCAGCAGTCATTTTGAACAGAACAAGGACATACTGCATGGTTTAAAATCAGGAAAGGTGTGCATCAGGATTGTGTCCTTTCACAGTATTTCTTCAGCCTGTATGACAGCAGATAACTCAAGAAGCTATATTGTATGTAGGATACTGTATACTGTATCCTATAGCATTAGGATTGGAAGAAGACCTGGGATAATGCAGATGACACTGTCTTGGTTACTGAAAGTGAAGAAAACCTCAAACATCTATTGAAGAAGACTGAAGACAGGAAACTTCAGTGTGGCTTTCACCTCAGCATAAAGGAAACAAAATTCTCACAACTGGCCCAATAAGCACCATCATGATAATGGAGAAAAGATTAAAATTGTCAAAGATTTCCTTTTACTTGGGTCTACAATCAGTGCACCTGGAAGCAGCAATCAAGAGATCCAATTGTGTATTGCATTGGGGAAAATCTGCTGCAAAAGATCTATTTAAAGTGTAAAAATATCAACGTTGTCACCTTGAGCACTGAGGGGCCCCTGGCTCAAGCCATGATATATTCAATCTGTTCATGTGCACAGGAAAGCTACACAATGACTAAGAAAGACTGTGGACAAATCGATGGATTTGAGTGAAGTTGTTGGTGAAAAATATTGAAAATAATGTGACTACCAGAGGAATGTATAAATCTGCCTTGCAAGAAGTATAATCAGTAATCAGAATACTCCTTAGAAGAAGTGAGATATCCATACTTGGTGGGTGCATGCGCCCCCCCCCCCCCCCGGGATAATGAAGCACTGGGAATGTGGTCTGTAAGAAGTTAGGCTGCTAATCCAAGGTGATGCCTTTTTGGTGGTTCAAATACCCTAGGGGATCCTCAGAACAAAGGTGAGCGATCTCCTCCCACATGATTTACAGCCTCCAAAACACTGGAGGGTCAGCTATGAGTCAGTCAAGACTAGACAGCAGTGACTATGTATGGATGTGTATGTGCATTTACAATTATAAGGACTGCCGTATCTATTTTGGATATACTACAAGAAGTGAAAAAGAGGACCCTCAGTGAAATGGATTGCCACAGTGACTGCAACAGTAGATTCCCAGTTAACAGTGATTGTGAGGATGGCACGGTACTGAGCAGTGTTTCCTTCTGGTGCTATGAGTCAGAGCTGACTTAGCACTTACTAACAATATATTTTAATAATTTAATTTTCTTCTTGTCTTAACCTACTGGACAGTTAAACTCTAGTCACCCTAATAAGCTGTGAGTCTTGTCCTTTTAAATGGAATATTTGCAGTTCTGCGTAAGGTCATTTGTGTACCATCTTGCACTTAGAGCGAGATTATTCTCTATCTTCAAGAGCATGTCTTTTCTTCGAGGGAGAAAGGGTTCTTGTCACTTTGTGATGGATTTCTTGAAACACATAGTGTCAGGATGTTTCTCTTTGTGGTGTTTGGGGGAGAATTCTGGAATGATTGACATGAAAGAGCCCTTTGCTTCTGTGAATGCCCAGAGTTGCTGTGGCAGAGGTCTGAAGACTTGGAGTCCAATTACAGCTCTGCTTCTGGAGAGAATGGAGATG